AAGAGCTGGGACATACTCTCCAACACTAATATGTGATTGCCCTGTTATAGGAGACTTCAGACCAAATGGTATGACGTATTTTGAGCTCTGTAATTACTTCATACACTCAGGAATATTGGAAGATATTCTTGTGCTGTACCTAGATTTTGCTAGTGGAGGCTATTTCAGGAAATCTTTATTTCATGTTCTCTCCTGTGTTTTAGTCAGAATTGATTTGTTTTTGTACTGAGGCAGGTATTTTCTCCCCTGACTCCATGTATGACTAACCATCCTGTGAGATGGGAATATTAGATAAACTTATAGTTAGTTTTTTATCTACACTGTAATTTTTCATATAGAATAGGGTAGCAGCACATTGCTGTGTATACCTAAGTCTTTTAATAATAATAAAAAAATCATTAAATAAGATTTTCTGTATTTGTGTGAAAATATTATGGCAATTATTTTTTAATTTAATGTGTTGTTTATTTTTTTGTTTGTCAAGGATTATTTAATTTGACAGAAAGCTGTTGTATATAATTCATAATTGGTATATAAATGTAGTCATTCTCCCTTCGTTAATGATAGCAGAGTACAGAGAATCTGAAGGTTATCATTTATTTACGTATATTAATTTATTTTGAAATAGAGTTAAGAAATATTCTCTTGTCATTTGTACAGGTGCATTTGATTATTTCAAAATGTTTCGTATCGAAGCAAAACAGACTTTCATGTTTGTTAAAATTATTTATTTCATAATAGCAAAAATTACGCAATGACAATTAGCGTATAAACTGCATATCACTATCGATGAAATTAGAGTGACGGTAATGGCAGGATAGTTTGGCTTTCCACGTCTAAATACTGATATGGACATCGGTCAGGGCGGCTGTTCCCTCCTGCGCGCCGGCCGCTGCCTGGCGCCCGCCCACACACGTCGTACGCTCCGCACAACTCACGTACTCTCCACACACTTCTTAGTCCCTCATAGACGTAATGGATTTACCTGAATTTATCGGAGGGGTCTGCAAATTTCCCCTCCATTTGTTCTGATGATTTTTTTCAAGCTGTATTTGATAAAGTTCAGTAGAATTTTGACATTTACGGCTTCGATCAAATTACTGACCCTTCCCAGAATGCAATCCCAGAACACGCTAACTCCTGGGTACTTATATACTGTCAGGTGAACAGGTTCATTGGGTGATAGGAAACGCACCAAGTTCAGGTTCAAGTAAGTTTATTGAGAACAAGGAAATACATCTCAAAAGGATAGGGTAGGTAGGTTATGTCTGCCCTCGTCAGTATCAGGTCCCTCCAGGGGCTCACAGACTCATACAGTACACAATTATTAATCATATTTTACATTTCACATTCCAGTGGTAATCACATGACACTGTGAGATCTCTTGTTGATTATGCTGCCCCTGTCATGTCTTGCCCTGGAAAAGGCAGACTGTTGGAGAAGGAAAAAAAAAGAAGCCATTAGAATAATCCCAAGATTATCATGGCTCAAGAAATACTAATACTGAGATAATGATGATATGATTGAACTTACAAAGTATTGGGGATATAATTTCAGCTATAAATGAAGCTACGGTGATTGCGCAGTCCCCGTGGCACATTGGTATAATAATCGCCCTGCACTTCGCGAGCAATTTGGCCTGGGTTCGTATCCTGGTTAGAGGATTGACTAGGCGCAATCCTTAACTGAAGCCTCTGTTCACCCAGCAGTGAATGGGTACCTGGCTGTTAAACGATTTGGCGGGTCGTATTCCGGGGAAAATTAGGATTAAGGACCTGCCCGAAACGCTATGCGTGCTGGTGACTTTACAAGAATATAAGAACACTTGTATATTTTTAAATGATTAGATTAATGAGAGGCGAGGGAGCTAATTAATCAATTATCTCACTTCAAAAGGTGGAACGAAATTAATAATGCTTGTGAAAGCATAGTAGGATCCTTATGTTCTAATGCTACAAAGCATGATGTCTCTCAAGAATGTGTTTTGTATGTGAAAAGAAACAATTAACACCAACATGAGAGGAACACAACGCAGATGTAGTCATGTTTCCCTCTATGTTGTCAGACTCTTATCTTTGCTGCTTTTATTGATTTGATTTGATAAGCGACATCATCTCTTGAAATTGTTTTGTTGTATACCATTTTTTTCTGAGCCTCTTCGTCAACATTTTCCACCACATTGGGTTGAACACTGCTATCATTAGTAGGTGGTTAATTTTCCTGAGACTTTCATCCGTGATACGCTATCCTCTTCCTTACTTTCTTCCTTCTGTTTCACTCCTCTCTACACTCCATCTGTTTGCCATAGCTAATTTTTCTAGAGCTTTAATCCTCTTGTCCAACTTTGAGGTATTCCAAGATGTGTGTACCGACGGCAGAGTCCACCCCGCTGTCCTGCACCTCATCACCACCAGGGTACACTTTGTCGGCGTCGTTTCCCACTAGGAAAGTGGCTTCCATAGTGGCTTTGATATCAACTAGGCTATCCTTAATGGTCGCCGTGCCTTTGTCCCAAATGTTGGTCACGGAGGCTGTCGTCTTTCCACTGTTTCTTCCTTGTTCTTGCTGTACGATCTTGCCTTTCTTCGGATCTTCGTTTACCCTGCTTATGGGTGGCGGCTTGGAGTATCTCACACTGGGCTTCATGGGACGTTGAGAAGAATGTATGACCGCCTCATCTTTGTGAAAGACATCCAAAATGCTGATTCTTCTCTATGTCCCGTGAAGCCTCGTGTGAGATTCAAAGCCGGCACCCATAAACAGAGTAAAGGAAGATCCGAAGGAAGGTGGTGGGCACTTTTCCTATTACCTAATGCCTCTGTCCACCAAACAGTAAATAGGTACCTGGGAGCTAGCCAGCTTGTGGTGGTGTTTCATCCTGGGGAGAGTCAGTATTTCTGCCTTGGTGGGGGTCCTCGATGTAAGCCTTATGTATATGCAGAGGCTGCCTGTCCCTTGCACAATGAATTAAAACAAATATAAATTATTATTAATAAGTCTCTAAGCTATATATATCATACTGTTGATCAATACTCTATAATCTCTCGTGTTCTTCAAGATATCCTCATAGTGCACCCAAAATTTGCCAGTGCAGGCTACTAAACATATGGCCCTGTATGACTAACCATCCTGCGAGATGGGGACTTTTAGTATCACTGCTGCCTTATTCACTCTTGTGTGTTCGTGTGTCTATAATCCATCATATAAAACAGGGTAGCAGTATATTGCTTTGTACCCAAGCTTATAAATAAAAATAATCATGCTCTGTATGCCTGTTTATTTGTTTGTTAACAAGCTTAGGTTATTGTTCCCTTGTACACAGCAATGTGCTGCTGCCCTAGTCTGTTATTCTTACTAGGCTGTTAGTCATACATAGAACCAGGAGAGAGCATGAAATGCGAGGCTGATGTTAGTCTGCACTATCAAAATCAGGATACAACACAAGAATATCCTCCAATATTCGTGTGTATGAAGTAGTAACAACACTCAAAGTACCTCATACCATTTGGTCTGAAATCATTGATAACAGATACAGTGTTGGAGAGTATATCCTAGCTCTTGTTCACATAGTTTACAATTGGAATGTTCACCATTGTGGGATTCATTACCTGCAGCCACCTGCCATATGTATCGATACCCCAGCCTTAGTCAGGCAATCACAATGTCACACTGTCTGGTGGATGTTTTGTGCTGCCCGTTCATATAATTCTCGATTCTAAACATATCACAGCTTTTTATACTCGCGCTTTCAGACTTTTGAGTGTCATTGCTGTTCTTCTGCCATCTCCAAATTCTTGAAATATTGCGGCTTTTACAACAGAGATTTGAATGCCCACATCCCACTCAATTTGTTGTTGATTGAGGGGCGATGATCGAGGGACTGTCAAACTCAATTTCAGGCTTATCACATAAATGAGATTAAATATTATGACTATTTTTGTCGTGCTAATATAAAAAGAGCATTTATGAGCCGATTCACCTTAAACTTTAATTAATATTTCATAATAATTGCCATCATTAAAAGCTATGATTTGTTCAGATCTGAAACTATCTATGGGCAGCACAAAACGTCCACCAGACAGTGCGACACAGTGGTTGCCAGGATCAGGTTGGGTTACCGTTACCTGTGGCAGGTGGCTACAGGTGACGGATCTTCCAATCCTGAGCACTCCAGGTGCAAACTCTGTGAGCAGGAACAATGGCATGATCTCCCACACTACGCCACCGAATGTCCGGTTATTAGAACTTTCAGACCCGTTGGCATGAGGTACCTGGAGCTTTGCAATTACTTTATTCACTCTCGTGTTCTTCAAGATATCCTCATAGTGCACCCAAAATTTGCCAGTGCAGGCTACTAAACATATGGCCCTGTATGACTAACCATCCTGCGAGATGGGGACTTTTAGTATCACTGCTGCCTTATTCACTCTTGTGTTGATGATATCCTCATAACGAACCCAGAGTCAGTCAGTGCAGACTACTTATCACGTGCCTCTGTATGACTAACCATCCTGTGTGATGCGGAATTTTTAGCATCACGTAGCTAGCTTTTTGACACACTTCTTACTACCCTAGACTATATGAAGTACCCCTTCATATAGTCTAGGGTAGCTGCACAAATACAGATGTACCAAATATATTAATACAAACAAAAAAATCTTCATAATATATATTTCGAATATAAATTTATTAGATAAGCGGGTTTTCTTCCTATTGTGGGTTATTGTACATGCTATTGGGCGTATGTTCACACACAGGATGAGTGACGCTGTCTAATAAATTCGCCCCTCGAGGCAAAAATATTAAAAAAAATGGAAGAAGCACTTTTTGTTATGTGCAGAACGTTGAGTTATCATCTTACGCAGTTCTCCGTCGGCGGCAGTACGATAATTATCAAGCTCTCGGTAACACTGCTGTTCTGGTGACTCAACTCCGCAGATATAAAACTATAAATGACGACCTTTAATTTCCCGCGCGTGTGGTAAGTTCGTTACTGGTTAACGGTGGGAAATTACCGTTTAACGGCGGAATACGGTTTGAGTGTGAAAATAACCAATGGAGAGCCCTGGAGGGCGGGGAGGCAGAGGTAACAGCCAATGATGGTTTGTTTACGGCCCGGCGCGCTGTGAGTGGCCGCTTCTGACCAATCTGTAGTCGCCGTTATTTCGTCCAATCTCAGGTAACTTTTCATGTTTGGCGCCAATAATTATCTGCCAATCTTCACTCAGTGCCCATTAGAGGAGGATGGGCGGCGTGCGGTGTGCCGCGGGCGTGCTGTGGGCGGCCCCCGACACGCCGCACCGCGCCTGAAAAGCGAGATGAAATGGCGGACTGAAAGTATTTTGCATGAGGGCCTAAAATTGGTGGTGAGAGGAGGAGGGCGATGAAGCCATGGCCACTGGCGGCCTGGTGATGGGCCCTGGTGATTGGCTCTGATGACCTGGTGATGGGCCCTGATGATGGGCTCCTGGCGACCTGATGATGGGCCCTGGCGATCTGGTGATTGGCCATGATGACTTGGTGATGGGACCTGGTGACGGGCCCTGATGACTTGTTGATGGGCCGTTGCGATTGGCCCAGATGACCTGGTGATGGGCCCAGATGACCTGGTGATGGGCCCTGGCAGCCTGGTGATGGGCCCTGGCAGCCTGGTGATGGGCCCAAATGACCTGGTGATGGGCCCTAATGACCTGGTGATGGGCCCTGGCAGCCTGGTGATGGGCCCTGGCAGCCTGGTGATGGGCCCTGGCAGCCTGGTGATGGGCCCTGGCAGCCTGGTGATGGGCCCTGGCAGCCTGGTGATGGGCCCTGGCAGCCTGGTGATGGCACTGGGCTCGATCACCGTCACCAGTCCAAGGTGAAGCCACCATTTCTTGTGATTACCTTGAGAGTGTGAAGGCTGACCATTGTACACAGCCGCAGTGCCTTCACTGTTGCCCTTGTTGTCTTCTATATTCTTATCCATAAGATTCTCTCTGATGCTTACTAGAAAGATTTTGTATTTTGATATATGCAGATAATTTAGAGATTACAGTAGATTAATTAGTTTGAAAATGGGAATAAGTATGCTCTTAAATAGGAATTAAAAATTATATATATATTATATATGTGTATATATATATTCTTTCTTCCCCTGTCCCATCCCAAATCCTTATCCTGACCCCTTCTGTGTGTTATATAGTCGAAATGGCTTGGTGCTTTCTCCCGATACAGTGGGGTCTCGACTTACGATGGTAGTCCATTCCCAGAGACGGATCATAAGTCAAAATATTGTAATTCGAAGCGATTCTTCCCATAAGAAATAAAGGAAATTGAATTAAATTGTTCCCCACCAAAATATTAACTTACAAATACATTTTATACTGAATACAATGATTTTCTAACTACAATACAGTATATATGTTTATTTTACGTTTATGGAGGACTCGTGATGCGTATGGAAGATGGTGAGGAGGGGGGGAGGAGGAGAGGTGTTACTGTTTGGAAGGGGAGTCCTTTGCCATTATAACATCCGGCAGTGATGACTTCTCTGGGGTACGCTCTTACGTTTTGCCTGCATACCACTAGGACCTGGTTGTGATTCACTGCTTGTTTGTCTCGCTAAAAACCTTTCCAGATATTTTTGTTTTTCCGTGTGTTTTAATTTTTATCTGTAGTGAGGCATCACAGTGTCATTAAAAAGGTTAAGGCAACGGCCTACTGCACCGTGATTTGGGCGAGTCGTTTCAGCAAAAGTTTGTAATTCTTCCCATGCACACATTTTCTTAATTAATGAGGAAGGGACATTCTGTACTGTCTCCTCCTCCCCTGAAGAAATTTCCTCAGCTGTCTCTTGTTGCTGCTCCTTGTGAATTTTGGTCAGTTCTTTGCTGTGTTCCTCCACCAGTTCGCAACACACAACACTCGGAACACTATGAATGCCACTTCTTTTTCTAAATTTCTCAAACCTCCCCTGTTCCCCTTAAACTCTTTCGCATTTGCATCACTCGTTCCAGGGGTTTTCTTTAAAAGGTCTTCATGCAATTTTCTTGCTTTTTCACAAATGATGGCCTCTGAAAGACTATCACCCGCTAACTCCTTGCTGTGTATCCAAATTAATAATTACTGTTCAACATCCTCAAGTGTTTGTGTTCTATGTTTCGTGATTATTGCTACACCTTTTGCCTTTTTAGCACTTGTAATGTCTTTTTTCTTAGCCAGCATGGTGGATATCGTTGACTGAGATTTGTTGTACTGCCTAGCTAGTTCAACAACCCGCATTACCATCTTCATATTTACGAATGATCTATTGTTTCTGCTCTATGGTCTTTCTTGCATGGGATCTCATATGTTGAGCCTTACCACTGACTTTCCTGGGACTCATGGCATGATATATAATAATTACTCTTATGTTCAAAAAGCAAAAAATCGCCACAAAAACGGAATTTCTTATAGGCGTGATCGTCACTAAGCGGGCAGCTGTAGTAAACTGAGGCAGGTTGGCCCGCGTGACCGGGAACCACGTGCTCGGTCGATCCAAACGTGTACCAACAAATATCATTAGTAGACGACAAAATTGTATGTCGAGTCGCATTTTTCGATCAGATTTACATCGTAACTCGAAATTACCGTAAGTCGGGGCAATCCTAAATCGAGGTGCCACTTCAAGTTCAAGTATGTTTATTGAGATAAGCAATAAATACATCTCAAAGGGATAGAGTAGCTTAGGCTATTTCTACCCCCCTTGAGAGGTGCCACTGTAGTTCCCTTCCCTTCCATATATAGTTTTGAGTACCTTCATAGGTACTATGATCCCTAAAATGTTAGGTTGATATACTGTGTTGTGCGTAGATATGCACTAGGAAAATTAAATAAACATTCCATTTTTTCAGTTTTTGTGATTATTCTTGTTATATGTTGAATGTTCTATCATTTTTGAAAAGTTGGCCATGATTGAAAATTACTTGTGATCTTTTGGAGAATAACTTGAGGAATGTCTTAATATCCACACAATTGTGGTTGTGTTGATATTCAAAAAACTAATAATCAAACTTTATGTAAGTTTTCATTTCCAGAAAGATCTGTTTTTTTAGTCAATATATTCATGGTGGCTTGATGCTTCCTTCTGATGATTAACTTGCCTTCCAGAAAGTCCTCAAAAACATGATCAAATGATAGAGGCAGGTTGTAAGCCACAACACTAACCAATGTGAAAGATTATTGTATTTTCTTGACAGAAAAGTAATAGGACAAGTGAAAAATATTTAGTTTTGAGAGAATAATTATATTTTGGCTTAATTTTTTTGGGCTGAGGAGCAGAGGTCTATAGACACCCCCAAGTATGTTGAAAGCAGTCTGTCTGCCATCTACCAGGTCATTCATCCAGAAAGGTAGGAATCCTAAAAACTACAGATGGTTAAAATTTGCAAACCGAAAGCTGAATGAGCAGACAGAACTCCCCAATCGGAAAACAAGCACGCAAGCATGACGTTACCACAGCTGCAGCGCTGTGGTCTGCTCGGCTCCCCCTCCCAGGGAGGGGGGGAGCCCCAGACCTCCCGCACTGGCTATCCAACCCCAGTTCTGAGGCTGTTGTGTTGTGTGGCGGTCGATCGATTCTGGCTCCAGTCCTTGAGCAGTGCTGTGGATTGTGGTGTTGTACTATGGCGTGATGGTGTGGGAGCCAGGTGTAATTTAAGAAGTACTGGAGCTGCATGCGCCTAGGGTTACCTTCCCAAAGTGCCCTGTAAGTACTGCCCTTGCAGTTTGAGGTTACCTTCCACAAACTGTTGGGGGGACTGCCTCCACAGGGTTCTTTTGTGGCTCGGTGATTGCCCGCCCTTGGGGTCAGCTGGGGTTTTTCCTACTACCGTTTGGCCTTGGGTAGGTGGTAGTATTGTCACTGGCAGGAGCACAAGGTACTATGCAGCCGTCTTATAATATGCATAGCAGCCAGTTCTGTTCAGCGGAGCCGAAGGGGCTCTCCACAGAAAATCAGCATTGAATATAATGAACATCAATGAACTGGATGAGACCTGGAGGCTCCCCAGCATCCCTCCCTCCCTCTGCGGTTGGCGGTCTTTCGCGTTTTTGATATTCAACCTCTGAACTGGGGTTGGATAGACGGCACGGGAGGTCTGAGGCTACCCCTTCCCCCTCCCGGGGAGGGGGGGCGGCGCATACACGCTGCATGGCAGCTGTAGTAACATTATGCTTGTTTTCTGATTGAGGAATTCTGCCTGCTAGTTTTCGGTTTGCAATTTTTAACCAACTGTAGTTTGTTTTGGGACTCTTACCTTTCTGAGTAGCTGACCTGGTAGATGGCAGACATAGACTGCTTCCAACTTCATGGGGGTGTTTATAGACCATTGCTCCTCTGAGTGGGCCAGGTTCTGGAACGTAATACCCGGTAGGCCTAGAACTCCATAGATTTACTGTTCCCGCAGTCTAATACAGTATATACACATCAGCTTGGTATAGCTCTGGGGAGCCTCCGGGTCTCGCCCAGAAAATGGTGTTTCGTTACATTCAACACTGGTTTTTTTGGAACTGCATACCAAATTAAAATATACAGTCAGTATGTTAGTGTGAATTAGTTTTATTTATATAAATGTTTCCTATTGCCAATCAGGACAGCAATATCACATATTTTATTTCAACAGAATACAATTTGCCATCACTACCTGTGAGAAAAGATGGAAGGTACAGATGGAGATGATATTGGAGCGTCATTCTTGTCTTCAGAGCAGTACATGGTAGAGGGTCACAGTGTTCATAGCCATCAGCACGATGATGAAGATAAAGATGATGTTCCTCACCTTTTGCGTGAACAAGATCGTTTCCTTCCAATTGCAAACGTAGCCAGGATAATGAAGAAAGGAATACCAAAAACTGGAAAGGTAAGACGTATGAAAAAAAAGCTGTGTAGATAAAGAGCTCCCACGAGCATTGTCCTGCTTTCATGAATGTGGTGAAGTACCTCCAGGTCAGCTTTATCTTTACTTTCCGACACAGTCTTTTTCAGTCCACCCCACCTGGACATTAGTGGAAGCCCAACACTGGAGAATTCTCGGTGCAGCTTAGAATTACCTCAGGAAGGTTCATGAAGCCTCGCCCAAAATAGATCCTCTCAAGCAGTGCTTGGGCCTGCTTGGTGTTAGTGTGCTGCACCACTGTAGCTCATTGTACTTGCTTAATACTTGCTTCACTTAAATTCATTTCCTTGCTTAGGTAATCCACTCATTAATTATAACCAGTTATTGGATGTTCGTATCTGAGTACTTCGTATCTGTCTTCTTCTTGCCTCTTTAACAACCTTTATGAATAACTAAATTATAACATTGAAAGAAGGGGATCGTTTTAGTTGCTATAGCCAGGTAATATATAATAGCAGATGAATTATTGGAGATGGAATAAAGTAGAGAAGATATTTAAAATCACAGATGTTTGTTTTCAAAAGGACATTAAATAATTGAAAAATGTCTACCTCTGAAGAATATAGAATATCACAATAGGGCAATTAAAGTGCACGTCCTGAAGAAGGGGCACTAACTGAATATCTGCAGGATATACATTACGGTACTGCAGTTCACCAGGACAATAATCCATGAATGCCTCTAGCTCCTTACAGGCTGATGGGGTAACAGTGACTCCATGCTTTGCACTTCTTAAGTCATTTCCCAAATTAAAATATTCATTTTCACTCTTCTCCCTTCCCCAATGGCTTTAGATATACAAGTCTATATCTATATATCCCCAATGGCTTTAGATATACAAGTCTATATCTATATATCCCCAATGGCTTTAGATATACAAGTCTATATCTATATATCCCCAATGGCTTTAGATATACAAGTCTATATCTATATATCCCCAATGGCTTTAGATATACAAGTCTATATCTATATATCCCCAATGGCTTTAGATATACAAGTCTATATCTATATATCCCCAATGGCTTTAGGTAAACTTAGTCATTAGTGCACTTACAGCGTGCTGAATTTAGTAGTAAGCACGAGACATTCTCAGTACTCGGGAGAGTTTATTGTTGCATTTGAATCCATCTTCAGTTTGAGGATGGCTTAATTTGGCATCCAGGATTTTCAGAATGACTTGTATAGTCATACAATAGCATTGGTTTAGGTAGTCTTGGGTTCTGGCTGCTTAGATGGCCATTCAGTTTTGGCCCCAGTTGGTATGCTTGGCTACTAGCTAAGGCTTGTATTTCCTGAATACTTACTTGTTTTTGATTTCTCATAAATTTTGAGGTTTTAGCTCGTGCTTACCTAATTGTGCCAGTAATTGGGGCTGGTCTATATTACCTGCATGACCCAGAGGCTTCTTTGCTGTATCTAGACAACTGTCTATGCTTGGTGATGAGCAGATACTGTCTTCCATCCAGAGCTTGAGCAACTACTGGGATGCTTCAACTTGAAGCAGGATGGGTATGGCTATGGGCTGTGTCATTTCCTGTGACGGTTTATGCTTTGCAGGTCCTTTGATCACAGAATATGTGTGCCCCGTGAGGCCTGTGGAAGATGGTTTTCAGAGTTCAGTAGCATGGTATCCCTTGGCTACATTGCTAGAGTTGTACGTGGTACAGTAGCATTACGTCTCACTTGGAGATTTGTCTTGAGCCATTGCCCCATACTGCAAGAATTGTGATTACCAGTCTTGTAATAAGTTCACAGTATAGTGAGGGAGTTAAAGGGAGTTTGAATGGTGCACCAGTGCATCTCTCTCCAGTGGAGCTTCGCATTTTGTCTTCATTTGAATTGCCTCTTTGGTTCACTGACTCGACAATGAAGGTTCCACTTGGTCTCTCTCTCGTGGGCTTGGACTTGCTTCTGACAATTTTGAGTTTCTCATGTGGCAACTTGAATGTTCTTTTAAGTGGTGTTTGCCACTTCTAGATGATTTTGAATTAGTGGGAGGTGAACAAGTTCGTTTAGTATGATGTGTAAGACCTTCGAGTTTCTTGTTGTGGATAATTTTGCCTTGACTTGAAATTGGCAACTGCTAGTGTATTTAGCTGCATTTCTAGATCATGAGGTAATCATGGCAGAAAATGTTTGCCTTAATTGGAACTGTAGGGTGTATTTATCTATTCCCTACAGTTCAGAAAGTTATTTAAATGTGAGTTAAGTTGGAGAGCTTTGGGGCCACATCATTTTTTTTTTTTTGGCTCCTTTATAGACACTTCAGCCTTTTTTTTCCAGACCTTGTTCTCTTGCTGCCCTCATCCAGTGCCTTGGCAATTTGGCAATTTAAGCTTATGGGTTTTTAGGACCATTTTAAGCTGTTCTTTTGTGTCAGTGGCTGTTTGTGATGGCTGTTTGTGATGTTTGTGATGTGACTGTTTGTGGAAAAACTTTTCATGCCACTCTTTTCATTTGACTTTGGTGGAGCCTCACCTGTTAGCTTTTTATTTGATCTTGCCTCTTCAACATTTGTGAAGGTCTCTTGAGCTTTCTTTCACTTGCGGCATCTTGTATTCCTTAGGAGCCGAAATGGTTCCTTGATAAAGTTTTTTTTATTTTTTTAAATGGCTCCCTTCCCGGAAGACTTTGTTCAAAGCAGTATTCTTGTTGGGGTGATTGTGTGTGAGAGTTCAGCCCGTCCTCTAAACAAAGACCCCAAGTCATTCCATGCACCTGCCAAACCCTCTATTTATGAATGAAAAACATTTTACACACACCTCGCAAGTGACGATGTCTGAACACTTCTTGAACGAGTGCTTCGACGACTTTTGTTTGAATCACAACGTTGTAAATGCTTAACCCACACTGTATTTGTAACCCGTACTACAAATACAAATAATCGCCAATGGAACCTAAACATCTAACCTAATCAAACCAATGCCTAAATATGCACAATATGCTAATATAGAATATTAATTTATTTTTGAGAACATTTACATTTTAAATACACAGCATGTTAAAATTTGATGAATGTTTCTTTGGGGTTGACCGCTGGTTAGAATGGACTTGGTCTAAAGACTGGTTGGAGAGTTACATGGTCTATGATGTCGGAATGCTTCATTGTTCGTCTTAATTGCTACTTAATAATTTTCTTTGTCTTAAGACACCCCTCTTTCTTGCTCAAGAAAATATCGTCCACCCACTGTCATCATCCTGGGTCACTCCAAATGCATGCATTACCCACTAGACTATGATGAGCTTAAAAGCAACACAACCTGAAGTTCTGCTGAATTTACAAGGAGCTTGGAAGGCATCAAATTGATACCTAAATAAAAATTTTATATGGTACCGCCAACACTGTTGCAGGTAATGATTAGTTCCCCAACTACAGTATCTTCTTGGGTGACTCGGTATGCAAGCTCTAGTCAATCACATTGCTCCTAAAGATTTCCTCATTGATATATATGTTATCCCCCTTTTGTGATTTCATTGTGCATCCTGAACTATGCTGCACCCGCAGCTTTTGTCTCAACATTTTCACAGCCAATATCAGGACTGGGTGTTTGTGGCGCTCTAATTGAATTTGCCGACCAATATGTCCTGTACATTCACTTGGTCTTATCAACAGTGTTTGGTACTAGGCAGTGTTCTGGGTTGGGATTACATCTCGGCTTACCTCCAGATAAGTCCTGTCCTGCCTTTATTATTATTTTGTTTCTACAGTACATTATTTTATTGTCTTATGTATTTTCAGATTATCCCTGTATGAAGTGGTGTGAGGGGAACTACTGAAGGGACTTCCCAGAAATATAGTGGAGTGTAATGGCATCACCTTGGTACATCTCCATCATATCTCTTGCTTCTTTCTTGTGGTAGTTGCACCTTTCCTTGAAAGTGGGGTAGACTTGTTGCCTTGGTGACTGGTATCGGCAGAGGGGTTAGCATTGGGGTAATTTGTTTTGTAGATTTTAGTGTTTTAAACTTGTCTTGTTTGTGAGCAAGGGGCCCCATTTTATTGGTAAGCAAAGAGTCTCGTAGGTCCTGCACCTGTAAGACTGTTAACGGCTAGTGCAGAGGACACAGAGGTGATGCATAGAAAGGGACAATTATTACTACTGTATATATATGATACTCTGTATAGTATTTTTCACTAGATAAATCCATATTTTATGTATTATTTGTGTGTGTAACCATGCAAAAATATATTTTATATTATTTTCAGTAAGTTAAACTACACCAAACTTGACAAAGATAATAATAAACTGAAAGGGTCTGGAAAAAAGTAGACCTGATTTTTTTATGTTCTACAGCACATTGTTTGGGTTAGATTTTAAGAATTTATAGCATGTGATGCCAACTTTAAAAAATATAACTTGGCTTTTAAAGAAAATATTTCTTGCCCAGCAGATTGCCAAGGATGCTCGTGAATGTGTGCAAGAATGTGTGAGCGAGTTCATCAGCTTTGTAACGAGTGAAGCCTCTGACCGATGTCACCAGGTTTGTTGATGCCAAGTACTGTACCTACTATATTTTTGTGTGTTGTGTCAGCACATTTTGGTGAGTTTGACTTAACTGCTTTTCCCGAGGGTTCTTTTGATTGGCATCAGTGTAGTTGGGTACTTCACCAAGGGTCGAGTTAATGCTCTACTTGTGATCTCGTAATTATTTCCAAGAGTTATTAGTTATTTTGGTTTTAGATGAATTTTTAGGCTTCTATAAGGGAGTTGGGCCGAGATACGGAAGTTGAACAAATCCACAAGGGCCGTGATGAGGGTTTGAACCTACATCCGGGATGATCCCAGACGTGCCATAGTCGACTGCGCCATGACATGGTGGCGCGTGGCCCTCATCACGACCCCTGTGGATTTGTGCATTTGATGCATCATGCTATGGTGATTTCTGTGTATACTGAAGTTCTATTGGCCGACTCCCCACTGTTGCATGCTTAATACCATGGTGACTCGTAAGTATCTTGGCTACACTTCACTATACAAACACTGATCTAAAATGTCATTTTTATATGAGAATCCATTGCCTTCTCCACGATTATTGATTGTGGCACTTATTTTCTGTGGGGAGCCCTTTCAGCTCCCTGGAGTTATTGGACTGATATTAGCTATATTAGTCTGGGGCTTCAGTTAATGAAGTTCAGCCTAATGGGGACCATGAGCCAGAACCTGGCCCCCTCAGAGTAGTGCAGGGAGCAATGGCCTAAGAAAACCGCACTGTTTTTAGGAGTATTCCCTGTCTGCCATGGACCGAGGCTAGGCACCCAGAAAGATAGGCGTCCCAAAACAAACCCCACTTTTGGTCGGAAATTGAGGAAATTGCAAACCCAAGACCGAACAGAGAACCAGAACTCCCCCAAAAGAAACAAGCAAATGTCATCAAACCGCTGCGCTGCTTGTCCACGCAACTCTTCCTCCCCTGGGAGGGGGAGGGGAAATCCCCTAACCCCCGCACTGGCAGCCCACTCCCCAGTTCATAAACTAAAGCTGTCTGGGGCAGTTGTCAACTCTGGCCTCGGTTTCCTGCCAGGATTTGTGCCCTTGTGGTGTTGCCTGTTGTTTGTAGTGCAGTGGCCAGGAGAAACTTAGTGTACTGGGGCTGCATGTGCTTAGGGCTACTTTCCCTAAGCACCCTTTAAGTACTACCCCTTGGGTTGTTGAGTTATCTTCCCTAGGGCCTTCGGGATCACACTCCCGAAGGGGTTCCTGCTGCTCAGCATTAACCCCGCCCTTGAGGACAGCTGGGGTTTTGCAGCCTTTGGCTCTGGGTAGGGAGTGTTGTTGCTGGTTGGAGTGCAAGGTGCTGCGCTGCTCACCTACCTAACAGCAGCCGTGTTCTCTGTTCCTCTGTTGTTATGCTTTTGCAGGGGTTTTTCTTTTCTTTGTTTTTCTGCATGGAGGTGGTTTGCCTGGCTTGACTATTCATCTGCCTAGGGTATTTTTGGTGGCCCTCCTCTAGGCCATTGTTCTTTTATACCTCAGAGGAGTTCAGTTTGCCCAGTTCATTCTTTGTTGACATCTTGACATTATCATTTGAGCTCGACTGGCTTTGCAGCACCGATGCCTGGGCTTCCAGTTGGGAGTGCCCCCTACGGGTCCTGGAAAACACTGTCGAGGGTTGGTTAACCAATGGATGTGTCCTCAGAGTCCCATCTTGTTTTGTGAGTTTGATGGCTGTTCATTACCCTTGTATTGAGGTGATGCTCACCTGTTTTGCCTCCGTTATGCTGCCTGTTGGGTCGGTGATACCTTTGACCTCGAGTCTTGCGAGACATGTTCCCTGCTAATGCTCCAGTTTATCCAGTTCTTGGGCATCAGGCGGCATACGCATTGCATAGTAGGTGTAGGTTTTGCAATACGGTAGGTTGGTTGCCTGCTAGGATGCTCCAGGGCTGCCTCATTTTGGTTTTAGGGACCTGGGGGTGTTAGTTGCTTTGACCTTGCTTCAGTCCGCGCCTTCAGGTCCTTCTCCGGTGGGCGTGGTTCGGCCTGCTGCCCCTACACCCTGCTGCCAACTCCCAAACATTGTGTGAGGGTTTCGGAGTCTGGGCAGGGTTTAGATGGTGTTGAGACTCGGGCAGCTCCGGCGGCTGCCCCATTCGAGCTTGTTCTTCCTGCCGAGGCTTCTGAGCCTTCCTAGCAAAGCCCCATTCTTTGCTGCCTTTTCCCTGGACTCTGTCTTTTCTTCAGGGGAGGAAGGCTTGGAGGCCGGCTCTGCCGTGGGGTTTGATTCGGAGGCTCCCGGGGCTGGGGAAAGTCATCCTAGGGTTCTTTGACCCCCTTTGATCCTGCTTGGGTGTTGGTGCCCTTGTCTTGGGGTTTGTTGTTGCAGGGAGTTGGATTTTCGTATCCTCCTTCCCTGTACGAATTTGATTTGGGGTCGGCTCTTCCCCGGGTTCGGTTCCAGGTTCCCTTGGGTTCCCGGCTCCCTCTTTCTGAAGGTTTTCTGCCTCCTGCATCTCACCTAAGGAGGTTCAGTAGACTTACTGCTTACCTCCTGGGTGACCCGGCTTTTGCCCCTGTGATGGATCCGACTTCGTTTGAGTTCAGTTCTTCTTCCCCGTATGGATGCATTATGAGGTTCCAGTCTTCCTGGTTGGCAGACTGCCCTATCTTTTCTCAGGGAACGTGGCATGGATTTTGTCGGACCCACACGCTTGAATGGCGAGAGGCAACTCCCATTCTGCAAGTTTACTTGGGGATGGGGGGGTGGCGATTTTGAGCGCCTGAATGTGTGCCTTTTCCCCCCTGTGCTTCCTTGTCCTTGGACTGACTTAAGGAAGATGTGGAGGAGTAGAGTGCCTGGCCATCATCTGCAGCACTGACCTCGTCGGCCAGGGAGTCGGCTGCGCTGTTGAAGCTGTTTGTGCCGATACTCCAGGAGGTGGTGTCTCTGTTTTTGCCTCTCGCCTCGCGTGTTGCCTGGCCATCCTCGCTCTCTCCTTTGAATCCGCTTGGGTACTGGCTCTTAGATTTTTGTTGCCCTTCTGTCCGTTGATGTTTGCGGATGGGGGCGTTACTCAGTTTTTGCAAACGGCTTCGGCAAGTTGCCGTTCTCTTTCGGATTTGTCGGTCCTCCGGGGTGGCCATTCTCGGGCTTCTCAAAAGGGTTATGCTAGGGCTCGAATTTCTTCTGCTTAAGGTTGGCCCTTGGTGCCAACTTCTAAGCTGGTGCCTCCTTCGTAGTCATTGTCGTCTGATCAGTGCACTACTTGCTCTACGTGACGGCCGGCTTCTCGTAAGGGGTGCCGGCCCTGTCACAGGTCGCCCCGTTAATGTGGTGCTGGGGGGGGGGGTGGCTGGCCCTGTGTCCCTACGCTAGGTCCCACGATTCGTGGGCGGATCGTCCTGCTTTTGGGAGTTCGGGGCTTGCGGGGCAGGCTTCACTCCGTCAGGTCATCTCGGAGTGGGTGCGCTTGGGCATGGTCGAAACGACCTCAAGTGGGTTTCCCCACTTGTTTCCAGTACCGAAAGGGGACTGTGTGGATCTTTGGTTCGTTCTGGACTTGTTCCCTCTGAACCTTTGGATTCCTTGCCCCTCCTTTCGGATGACCATTCTGTCCCAGGTCCGGCTTCTTTTGGAGCCGGATTGTTGGATGGTGTCTCTGGACTTAATCCGGGGTTCAAGGACTGGGTAGGTTTTGTGGTAGGGTGGCATGCTTACCGTTTTCATTGCTTTCAATTTGGCCTGAATCTGGCCACTTTCATTTTCACGCGTCTTACTTGGGTCATGGTGATCCGTCTGCGTCTACTAGGGGTTTGGGTTCTGGCCTACCTTAACGACTGGTGGTGTGGGCTCCCAGCCAGTCTGCATATCTGCTCGACAGGGGTGTGGTTCTTTCCCAGCTCGCCGGGTTCGGGTTCCTGATGAACTGGAAGAAGTCCCATCTGGTTCCGTCCCAAGTTAGGACCTTGCCGGGTCTCGTGTGGGACTTTTGGACCGCTTCCTTGTCTCTCCCTCTGGAGTCATTGCTGAGGCTGCAGTCCTGCCTTCACTGATTGGGGGGGGGTGTCTTGGGTCACTTGATGGTTGCTCGAGGAGTTGTGCGAAAGTCCGAACTTCGCCATGCTGGTTTACCCACCGGGTCGCGTCTGTTCTGGTTTCTTCGGGGTCCTCCCTTCCGCCTCTTTCTCGATCACTGGGTTCAGCCTCCAGGGGCCTTGCGTTGGTTGCTGCGTCATCGGCTTCCTCTTTAGGTTTTTCGGAGTTCAGTGCTCTCCCCAAGCCCTCGCTTAATGTGTTCACCGATGCCTCATCTCTCGGCTGGGGCGTTGTGACCAGCGCTCACCAGGTCGGCCAGGGGCAGTGGGGTCCGTCCTTCCATCAGGCTCACAGCATAGTGCAGGAGTTGGCGGCAGTTTGGCTTTCGCTTTGGAGGGTTTTATCACTCGGAATTCCACAATACGGTTCCATTCGGACTGCTCTCCAGTGGTTCATTGTCTGAACCGCAGGAGTTCTCTTCGGACTTTGGCTCTTTGTGGCTGGTCGCTGCAAGTGACTTGTCTGCTGGATTCTCGTGGTTTGGCTCTCCGTGCAGTTCATATCCAGGGAGTGTCCAATGTCCTGGTAGACGGCCTGTCTGCGCTCATTCCCCCTATCCATGGAATGGACAGCGATGCCGATACCTTCATGTTGGCTCTACCGGACGTACTGGCTCGCAGAGGTGGACCTCTTTGCAGCGGCGTGTTCTCTGTGTCTCCTGATATATGTGGCGCCCTTCCCCGATTGTGGCGCCTTCGTGGTGGAAACCTTGTGGCAGGACTGGTCGAGGTTGGGTTACCTGTACCTCTTTCCCCCGGTCCAGCTTTTGCTTTGGGTCCTGGCTTGTTTGGAGACTTGCCAGGGAAAAGTAGTCCTGTTGGCCCCTTGGTGGCCGGCCCAGCCATGATTTCAGGTGCTGTTTGTTCGGTGTCCAAACCCGAGATGTTTTCAGCAGATACTGTAGTACCGGTCCAGTCCGGTACGTGACTGGTTTGGTCGTCTACTCTGCTCTTTGCATCTGGGTCCAGATTCACGAAGCAGTTACGCACGCACTTACGAACCTGTACATCTTTTCTCAGTCTTTGGTGACTCCCGCCAAACACACACTGAAACTACGACGTTGGTACAATGTTTGAACAAGTTTTAACACCTAACCAGTTATAACAACCAATATAACAAGTTGTAACAATGTTCTAATATGTCATAAACACGTTAAGCCATGATGTAACAACTTTATTACAAGTTGTAACAAGCGGAAAATAGAGACAGTTACAGTTTGTGTTTCCAGGGCTTTGTTTACAATTATTAAACAGTTAATGAGCTCCAAAGCACCAGGAGGCTGTTTATAACAATAACAACAGTTGATTGGGAACTTTTCATGCTTGTAAACTGTTTAATAAATAACCAAAGCCGTCAAAGATTGAGGAAAGATGCACACGTTCGTAAGTACTTGCGTAACTGCTTCGTGAATCTGGCCCCTGATCTTTTTGACATGGGTTAATCACCATTTCTATGGTGATCAGGTGATCAGGTGGCTTCGCTGGTGTCCCACCTGCGAGCTTCATCTCAGTGACAGTATGAAGTTTTCTGGCATTCTTTTCACCATTTCCTTTCTCTTCGTAGGTTGTTTTGTCCTTTCTTGGCTTTTTCAGGACTCATTTGAGCCAAATACTGTTGCCTCGTATCATGTGGCGCTGGTGGAGTCGCTTCAGCTTGCGTTTGGGGTGGATGTCACTTCTGCCCCGTTCTGTAAGCTTTTTCATGTTTTGTTTCTCTGGCCTGCACATGTGCCGCCTGAGCCGTCCTTGTCCATGGACAGGGTGCTCTCTTTTCTCTGTTCTCCTCAGTTTATGGTGACCCCTTCGGTTCAAGATATTTTTTCCAAGGCTCTTTTTACTGTTGACACTTTTCTTTGGGGGTCGGGTGGGTGAGCTTCATGCTCTACTCCGGCGCAGGGGTTTGTGCTCTTTTGGTCTTGGTGGTCAGTTTGTTTGGTTGCAGCCGTCTCCTTCTTTCCTGCTGAAGAATGACGGCAGCTTTCCAGAGTCATTGATGCTTGGTTGGTCAGGCCGGGCGGTGCATTATGTGTTGTCTGGTTGCGGCTCTTTACCGTTACGGTATTTGCACGCCTCGGCCTTGGTGGCAGGGGACGTGCTTTGGGTTGATCCGGTTTCCCTAGTTCCCTGTTCCATGGCTTGGGTCTCCCAGGTCTTCTGCAGGGTTATTAAGTGTAGCCAGCCTGCGGTCTATTTTCATGCCCATATGTTCGTAAGTTTGCTGCTTTGACTGCCGTCTTCGGCAACATGTCTTGGGCTGATATTTGGGCACGGGGATTTTGGAGACCGAACAGGGTCCTGGCTGCTCGTTGTCTAGTCGACGTTCCTAGTCCTGGCCGTTCGTGTGTGGCTTTGGGTTGCAGGTTGCAACCAGTTGTCACGCCTTCGAATTGAGGTAGGGCAAAAAAGGGCAAGTTCCCCATTCACTTGTCTCTGATTACGTAGCTCCAGGGAGCTGGAGGGGCTTTTCCACAGAAAACCAGCGTTGAATGTAATGAAATGAAATGCCATTTTCTGGGTGAGCCCCAGAGGCTCCCTGGCGCCCTTCCTCCCTCCAGTTGGCATTTTTTTTTTTTTTTTTGCGTGGGTTTTGATGCTCAGCCTCTGAACTGGAGTTGTTGTAGCCAGCACGGGGGTTCAGGGCTTCCCCCTCCCCCTCCCCCTCCCCCTCCCCCTCTCAAGGACGGGAGGGCTGTGCAGACAAGTGGCGTGGTGGCGGAATGTGACGTTTGCTTGTTTGCCTGTTTCTTTAAGTAGGGGGAGTTCTGCCTCTCTGTTTGGTCTACAGTTGCAATTTTCTTACCATGTGGGGTCTGTTTTGTTGTGCCCATCTTTCTGGGTGCTAACCTCATTCGATGGTAGATATGACATTGATCCCCTTGCCTCTCTGAGGGGTCCAGGTTCTGACTCGTGGTCCCCGGTAGGCTGAACTCCAGTCGACTGATGTCCCAGACTTACACACATCAGCCTGATAGCTCCAGGGAGCCTGCGGGGCTCGCCCAGAAAATGGCATTTCATTACGTTTAATGCAGGTTTTTTCCATCATGCCTCTTCTGGTGCTCTTACACTTTCACTTTAACCACTGTACTGTGTAGCTGTTTAAATTAATATGACAAGTCAAAAAATTCCCAGAATTTTTGTTATTCTTATTTTATTGAAATCATTTCCCTGAACCCATAACTGCAAGAAACAATAAAAACAAGTGCTAAACTTTGGCTGCAGTGAAATGGAAAAGTTGAGCTATGATGAGCTACGGGTGATTCAACACACGTAAATTTTCACAAATGTATTTGTGTCGTTTTTTCAATGCATTTTTATTGTTATTGTTTTTCTTTGCTTATCTTATGCACATGGATGTAATTGATAATACTTACTGAGTAGAACATTCTTAATGTTCCACGGGACTGGGATACACGTGTCACTAATGTCTACTAAAAATGTTTGTCATAATATTACTTGTCCAATATTCAATTTATAAAACTATATACACACTCAGTACTTCACGAGTGTGTGTGATAATCGATGAAGCAGGCCATATAGTACACGGCAACTTTGCACTCGACACACTAGGTATACACATCCCAGGCAGGGCGGGACGTATGGGCAAGTCTCCTTACACCCATTGCCTCTGTTCACCTGGCAGTGATTAGGAACCTGGATGTTAGTCCAACTGTTGTGGGTGGCATCCTGGGGTATGGTCAAATACTGCATAAATCTCTGGTATACTCCAATTTCCCCCAAACACCGCAAGGCACTGCACGAGGAAAATGGCCGAAAGGCTACACATGACACATGCCGCAAGGCAAACAAACAAGAGCCGCAAAGGCACCGCAACAAGTGGGCCAGAAAGTCCCAGAGTCCAAAAAGGGTTCACGCCCGAAGTCAAAGTGTGGATTCACACCCAAAGAAAGTAACTACATAGATTTCTGCTTCCTATTGCTTCATTCTGTGTGCTTGCTAACAATGCACTCGCATACACCTTTTGCCAGAGTGCCTTGCCTTGGTATGTAAGCAATCTTGTATAGAGCAAGGGTGTCTTTGCATGTCAGTCTATTGGGAGTAGCGTGATGGGGTGTTGGCACACGAACCTTCATCACATCACTACCTTCCTGGCTAAACTTTGCAAGTAATTGTGACCAAAAAGAGCACGATTACAATTATGGATTGGTGGTTTCTTACCTGTTTTCACCAAATACAGGTTGTAACAGTTGAGTACTGTAATGTCCACAAGATGTGTTAATGCTTAAACACACTGTAAATCCTCCTTATGTACATTTAAGGCTTAGCATTTACACCGGATTTTCCTGTTTCCTGTTGAAAGTAAAATGCAATGTTACCTGTTCACTTTAGTATGTCCTGCATTTATCTTGTTTCCAAATTGCAACACCTGTATTCTACTGTTTAAAAATCTACTGTACTTGCAAACTTAGTATAGTTTTCTGTGTTTAAATGTTAAAATTATTTATGGAAGAGGGAAGGTGAAAGAAATGCTTCACTTCTAGGTACAAAATGTGTTAGATATGATCCATGAGTACAGGTAGAATTGTAGTGATTTCCAAGAGGTAATTTAATAATATTTCTTAATTTTGACAGGAGAAAAGGAAGACCATCAATGGAGAGGACATACTGTGGGCCATGAATGCGCTAGGGTTTGAGAACTACGTGGAGCCTTTAAAAATTTATCTTCAAAAATTCCGTGAGGTAGGTATTTATTTTATTAAGCTTGACCTGGGATGATAAACCTGGCTGCATTTTCAGGTAAAGAAATGTCCCTTGAAGTTTATGCTATTACTTAAATCAGTCGGAAAGATTGGATACCAGCATACATGTTTGGGAGTTTATTTAGCAATGGCAGCCATTGTAAAGCAAAATATTAGAACTGTCTTCTCTGTACCGATTGTGTACAAGCTTCTTAGTATACCTTCAAACGTTGTTGGCAGTATTTGACCACTAACATAAAAAACCTTGTGTTTTTTCTGGGGGGAGCCCCGTCGGCTCCCCGGAGCTTTACCGGCTGATATGCTAATGTCAGACTTTGGCATCAGTCATGTGTATGGAGTTCTAGGGCCTACCGGGGACCACGAGCCAGAACCTGGCCCCCTCAGAGAGGCAAGGGGAGCAATGGCCTATAGAAACCCCCGTGTGGTTGGAAGCATTCTATGTCTGCCATCGACCGGGTCAAGCATCCAGAAAGGTAAGCATTCCAAAACAAACCCCTATTCTGGTGAAAATTGCTACCTAAGCCAAACTAGTGAATAGAACTCTTCAACAGAAAACACGGAAACTAGTATGACGTCATACGTCACCGCGCCGCTGTCTGCGCAGCTCCCCCCTCCCCGGGAGGGGGAAGGGGGAGCCCCAGACCTCCCACGCCGGCTATCCACCCATCAGTTCTTCGGCTGATGCTATAGGCAATGGTTATGTGCTCCGGCTCCAGTGGTTGTTTCAGCACTGTACCTAGAGTGTGGTGTCTGTTTTCTAGGTGGTGCGTGAGCCGTGTGTGATTCTTCAGTACTCGGGCTGCATGCGCCTAGGGTTCCCTTCCCTAGGTGCCCTGTAAGTACTGCCCTTGGGGCTTGGGGCCACCTTCCACAAGTTCCTTGGGTCCTGCCCCTGCTTGGCCGTTTACCGCTTGGTTTTCGGCCGCTCTTTGTGTGCTCGGGTGTTCTGTCTCCCTTGTTCGCCTTAGAGTAAGGGGCAGTGTTTGCACTGGTGGGGCGCGGGGTACTGTGCAGCTTGTCTTTACCAATCATAGCGGCCGGCTCTGTTCCGCTTGGGTACGCTGTCCTCTTGCGGGGTTTTCTTTTTCTTTTGTTTATATACCTGGTGGGGGGGTCTGCCTTCGTTCTTGCCCCTTGTGTCCCTTGTGTTCTGAGTATTTCTGGTGGTACCCCCTGCTAGGTCCCCGTGAGTGTACACGTCCCGGGGGTTCAGCTCTTAGAAAGTTGTTTGGTAGCTTGGGTGCCGGTTAGCAGTACCCTGCCTGGGATTACCTGAGCGCGAGTCCTCTTAAAGTAAACGCTCGGGACCCTGGGAAACCCCTGGGGGCGCGCGGGTCCGATGGATGTGACCCCAGAGCCCCCCCCTCGCTTCCAGCGAGTTTGAGGGTTGCTCTCACCTTTTGTCTCTGGGTGACTCTCTGTTTTGCCTCCGTCTGCTGCCTGTGGGGTCGGTGACACCTTCGACCCGGTGTCCTGCGAGTTTGGTTGCTCGTTGTGGCTCGGTTACCCAGTTGGGCTAACAAAGCGGGTGCGGGCAGCAGGGGCGTTGCACTTGAGCCTTGGTGGTGGCAACGTTCTCGTGGTTTTCCTCCCCGGGAGCCCCGGGGCTGCCCCGTTGTATTTCGTTTTGGGACTTGGGGGTGTTGGTTGCTTCGGTTCCATCCACGCCCCCTTGTCTTTCCCCTGGTTCACCCTTCCTGCCTGTATCCGGTTCCTTACCGTCTGTAGGTTCAGGGCGGGGTGTTTGGTGGTGTTGAGACTCGGGCAGTCTCGGGGAATTCCCCTTCCGGGGTAGTGACGGGGGCATTTGGGCCTGTTCCTCCAGCCGTGTTGTATGTGTCTGCCAGTGGGCTCCCTTCCTTAGTGTTTTCACGGCTGCCCCGGTTTTCTGGTACGGCCGGGGCTTTGGGGGAACGGCTCGGCCCCGGGGCCTGTCGTGTAGGTTCCCGGGGCTGGGGAGGGGCTGACTTGGGGGGCCTAGGCCCCGTTAGACCCCGTGGGGGGTTTTATCCCCCTCTCGGCGGGGCTTGTGGTTACGCGGAGTGGGGTCTTTCCTCCCCACTCGCCGTACGTGCTGTTGGACGTCGGCCCCTCCCCGGGCTCGGTTCCTTGGCCTTTGAGTCGGTTGGTTCCGTCCTGTGGGTGGTTGTTTCCTCCCCCGCTTTTTGGGACGGTGTTTTTGTCATGTTTCCCCGTTCGATGGGGTTCTGCGTGACTTTTGATCTCGGGTGCGCCTGCGCCTTCGTGTGCCTTCGGGACTAGTGTTGGCTTCTGTGTTCTCGAGGGTACGGGAAGGTTTTTCGCTACTTCCCGCATTATTGGAACGTCTGTCGGCTCCTAGTACTTGTCGCCCTGTTGGGCTACTTGTCGCCCTGTTGGGCTACTTGTCGCCCGGTTGGGCTACTTGTCGCCCGGTTGGGCTACTTGTCGGCCGTTTGGGCTACTTGTCGCCCGTTTGGGCTACTTGTCGCCCGTTTGGGCTACTTGTCGCCCGTTTGGGTTCCCTTTTTTTTTTTGGGCTCTTTGCTTCTTTGGCCGGTTTTATTGTTCCTGCTTCCTCTTTTGGCTCTTTTCTCGTGCAATAGTCCTGGCTGGCGCCTTCCCGCAGGGAGGGTGTGCGGTTCGGCCAGCGTGTTATGCGCATGCGCCGTGGAGTTTGTTTTGGTCTGGGCGATGGTTCAGTGCTGGGGTTTTGCGCCCTTTTTTGCTACAGTGCTTCCCCTCTCGTTCTTCTCCCTGGCTGCGGTATGTGCCCCTTTGCGCCAGGGGTGTCCTGGTTCCCAGTTGTGGGGAGGACACCGCGGTTTTCTGTGTCATGGGTGTGGACCGCTTCCTTCGCCTCTCCGTTCTCCTGCGGGTCCGGCTCTGGCGTCTTCACCTGGCGGTGCTCCCAAGTTCTTCTGGGCACGGTTGAGTCGTGTCAAGTTCGAGCCACCATTCGCCAGGTGAGTTTCTGCGGTCTGGCGTCTTTTGGCCGGGCGCTGGATGCGGCGGTGTTCATATACCTGTCTTTATTTAGGTATAATTTTGTACGACTGAGACCGTTCGCACACCAGTGACTGTCCCTTTTATCACCCCTTCCTGTCTCCCTCATGTGCATGTCCAACCCATGCTGGAGTTGTTCAGGGGACCCTCCTTTTTTAATGTGAGGTGTGGGGGTTGTAGGGTTGGTTCTGTACTCACCTGGTGAGGCTCCTGGCTGTGCTTGCAGGATTTGAGCTCTGGCTCTTGGGTCCCGCCTATCTGGTAGAACTTGCGGGATAGTACCAGTGGAGTGCAGTGGTGCTATTGGCACTTTTGGGGAACACTGTATTACCATCAGTGGTCTGTGCTTGTTACACGACCTACTTGCGAGCATAAGCCTTCTTGCTGGTTCGTCCGTGGACTTCCAGGGCGCACTGGCCTGTTTTCGTCTGGCAGTTCCGGCCCGTCCTGGTTGTGGGGGTATGTGGGCCGGTGGACTGCTCCTAGCAGCTGCCTGGTGGGCCATCCTCTGGCCGGTCTGGCCTGACCTTGGGCCGGGCTTGAGGTGTAAAAGAGCTCCCAGTACCTCATCCAGCAGGTATTGAGCAGGGTTTCTCCGCCGTCGGTCGCCTGGTGCAGGTTTCTGGGCCTGCAGGGTTTTGTCGTGTCTCCGTTGGCCCTGTCTGGGGTCTGCCTGCTCCGTTCTCTGCCTTTGCAGAGGGGAGTTGCTATTTACATGTTGCATGTTGCAGTGGTGCCTGTTGCTGCTGCTGCTGCACGTGAGCATTGGTACCGTGTTTCACGGTGGCGTGTCCTTGTTCCTGTGTCCGGTTGTGGAGTGGCGCTTTGCTGCCGTTTTGTGCCTGGGGATTGCGTGGGGTTTTTGTCCCTGCCTGATTGTCCACCCCTGGTTGTTCTCCTGGTTTTTTTTTTTTTTTTGTGCTTCTGCTCTTTCTTCCTGCCTCTTCTGCAGCAGGAATGTTCTGCGTGTGTTCTTAGGCGTTGGTCAGCCTGTGTCCTGTGATGTGCTTCTTTGTCTCGGTCTGTTGCAGTTGTTCGTGCCCCTTGGTTCGGGTCCTGTTCTGGCGGCGACCCTTCCGCCTTCTTTGGTTTTCCTAGCTTGCCCTGCCGGTTGTTGTTTTAATTTTTTGGGGGGGTTCTTGCGATGTCTCGCGTCGGACCCGTCGTTTCTGAACTCCTGGCGGGCTTGCATGCTTCGGAGTTTTTCTGTTCGGCAGACGTTCCATCTCCTTGTGCCGCCTGGGTTTCGGTGGTCGCGCCCGAGATCTTCTTGCGGCTCCGCCTTTTTCCTGGGCTCGGGGGGGCCTTGTCGGGGCTGCTTATGTTCTGCCTCGTGGTCTCGCCTCCGGTTGGTGGTCGGGTGGCTTCGTGGTAGGTGTCCCACCTGCGTGCTTTCTTGGCGGCAGTATGGGGTATTTTGGCGGTCCTTCCTTTTCCTGTTCCTTCTTCGGTGGGTCCTTCTTGTTGGCTTGGTTTACTCTCGGCTTGGTTTTCTAGTGGGGGTTGGGGGCCGTCGTCTTGCCACATACTGTCGCCTCTTTTCGTGCGGCGCAGGCGGAGCCGCTTCAGCTTGCTTTCGGTCTTGGTGTTGCTTCTGCACCGTTAGTCAGCTGTCTTGTGCGTCATTTCACCTCCGGCCTGTTCGTGCGCCGCTTGCACCATCCTGGTCTCTGGTCAGCGTGCTCTGTCTTCTCCTCGGTTGGTAGTGCCCCTTCGGTTCCGGTGTGTTTTTTCGTCGGCTCTTTCCTTTGGGCCTTTGCCTCTGGGGGTCGGTTCGCTGTGTTTTCTTGCTCCTTCGGTTTTAGCGTTTTGGTTGTTTGATGGCAGCAGTCTCCATCTTTTCTGGCGCGGGGTGGGGCTGCTGCATTCTGGAGGGGTCCAGGGTTTGTTGGTGCTTTGTTGGTCGGGCCGGGGGTGTGTCGTTTTTGTGTTCAGTGGCGGCCCTCTGCTGTTGTTTGCGTGCCACGGCGTTTGGGTCCGGAGCGCGTTTTGCGT